CACTTTCTTGAAACTGAGTCCAAAGTGCTTAACAAACCTAAAATTTAAATGATGACTCATTTTCCCAAGATTTTAATTAATTCCATATATTTAAAAAATTTCAGCTCCTGCTATGTGAACATATAAACCCAGTTAATCAACCATCTAAGAAAAAAAAAACCCTAGTCTCTTAATACAGAATCTATATCTAAGCTTAGCAATACAGAACATACTTCTTAAATGCTTGTTACAGTGAAGAAGCTACTAATGGCATCACAGATACTGTATGGGACCAAGGACCATGGGATCCTAGATACTTTCTAGAGAAAATGAGTAGGGACTTTATTTCCATAAGGATGGGCAATTTTATTGTCAATATGATTATTTATTTGCTACTAGTCTGTGTAAACATAGTTCCTATGCACGAGGATTAAAAGAATTCAACAGTCCAAGTCTTAAAACTATCTTAAAAAATTCATTACAACATATCAATTCTCAATGAATTATCACTAAACTGAATTAAAATATGTCATAGAAGTCACCAGACCACAGCCTTAATACTTTCGGCAGCCAAGTTATGTCGTTTTAGGTATCACAAGATGGCAAATGAGGACAGTCAACCCAGCCAGCATACCAGATTTACACTACAAAATTTGAATAAACACTAGATGGCGGCAAAAAATTAGCTTTATGGGTTTCTTTACTGCCAGCTAGTGGTCATTTTAAGTTTTACAGCATAGACATTTGCTCATAGATTATTTGTGAGCTTCACACAAACTTAAATATGTTGAATAATTATTAGCTATATATGTGGGTGGGGGAGAGACAGAGCTGCTTATTTTAGGCTACTGACAGAACATTTGAGGACCAGAAGATCTATACAACAAAATAAAACTCTTGTCCCCCCTCCCCTTCACAACAGACTACCAGTACAAGAAAAACAAAGAATTTTTTTTTTCTTTTCTACTAAGTGTTTCTGCCTCCTGGGCATATTTTAGATAAGGGTCAAACAAACAATACAGGAAGTTAAAAACCTCCCTACGTTTATTGCACAGGTTAAAATAAAATATAAATAGCACTGTGGAAGGGAGACAGCAGCAAACAGAGAGGGGAGTTTAACTAGTCCACTGTTGCCTAAAAGAAGAATTAATCCCCCCAAGGTGATAGCTGTTTTAAGGAAAACCCTCCCAGTTTTACTGGGAAATATCCTCTCCATGAAATCATTACTTTAGAAGAAAAGATTTTCAACAGCACTACCACAAGTTGGGAAAAAAAAAAAAACTGACCTAAAAAATTGTCAACTGAACACGTCAACTCAAAATTCCTACCTTGAGGCATAAATAACCATGCTATAATTATCTTTCTAACTTGCAGGTTCAGACTCTCTTTCTCAGAATATAATGCTGGAAAAGATGGAAGGAAACAGAAGAACAGGACAGCCAGCACCAACCTAAGATGTACAGAATGACAACAAGGTTGCATCATTTGAGAGATCTTAAGGACCTCACTGGGAGCAGATTCTTTTGGGGGGGAAAAAACCCCAGAGTTGACCCTGTGATGGCACAGAGTCAATTATCACATGTGAATTATCTGATGCTTTATTGTGGTGCTTATATCTATCATAGTAATGCACAATATTCAATGGACATTTTCTAATACATATACTTACAGGTAATCCTTTTGAGCCCAGAATTTAAATTGCTGAGTAAGGCAGTTATTAAGTGAGTCATGCCCCCCTTTTATGACCTTTTGCCACGGTTGTTAAGCGAATCACTGCAGTTAAGTGAATCATGCAGTTGTTAAGCAAGTCTGTGTCCCCCCTCCCCCAACTGACTTTGCTTATCAAAAGCTCCTTAGGAAGGTTGTAAATGACTCTCCCAGAAAACTGGGATGCTGCAACTATCATAAATACATGTCTGAAGTTTTAACATGTGACTGTGGGGATGCAGCCCTGCTCATAAGTGTGAGAACTGGTCATAAGTCACTTTTTTCAGTGCCACTGTAACTTCGAACGATCATTAAACAAATGGTTGCAAGTTCAAGAACTACTTATGGTATATACACAAAAATCATTTGTAATATACAAAGTTTAGGCCTAATCACAATTGCAACAATCCATAGCCCATCTTTTTATGAGTGTTAGGGAATCAGTTTTTCAGGCCTTGTCACAGATGTGTCCGATATTAAAATGTTAACTCTCCTGGTGCCATCACACGGAATAAAACAGGTCTCTTCTATATAGCTTAGGAAGGAACCAAATCTATATGCACTTCCCTCTATAAGATGCTTACTGTTTTCATTTTTTAAGTGTTTTACAATTGTTTGGGCTTCATTTTTAGCTTTTATGATCACTGTTTTTGCATTTATATAAGCCACCCAGAGCTGTTAAGGGAGTGGGTAGCATAAAAAAAAAAAGTTCCTAAATGAGATAAATAAATATCCTGGGAAGACAGCCAGGTCTGCTTCCCTAGCGTAATTATGCATTTCTAAACATGTATTTCTTGCATACAGAGACCACAGCCCCACACAGCATCCATTCACTCTGTCCTATGTATCCCCAGCTGAACTTGCTGCCAGAACACACTTCCAGATGAAATGGATAACTGAAGCATCATTTAGCAGTCTTCATTTTTGGCTGCTTTTAGAGGATGTCCCAGGGGTGGGGATTCTGGTGCCCTTCAAAACTGTTACTCTACTCAATTCTCCCCACAATGTATTTTGTGGCCATACCGTTTAGGATAGCGGGAGTTGCAATGCGCCAACATCGAAAGTGCCAAAATACTTCTAGCAGTTAGTCCTCAACTTATAAGCTTTCATTTAGTGATTGTTCAAATTTACAATTGCACTGAAAAAAGTAACATGACCATTTTTCACCCTTATGACCTCTGCAGCATCCCCCTAGTCCAGTGATGGCGAACCTTTTAGAGACTGAGTGCCCCAAAACTGGCCCCGCCCCTGCTCCACCCCCCTGCCCCACCCCCACTCTGCACCCCCATCTCCTGCCCCGCCTGCCCATAGGACCACTCACCACCTACAGGGCCCATCGCAGATCGCCCAGGCAGCCCAGCAGCATCAACTGCATGATGAGGTGTGAGGGCAGAGTCTTGTCTACGCTGCCTGACTGCCATGTCCTTGGCTGTGCTGCTCTGTGTGGGCCACGCTCGGGGGCGACTCTCCTTTGGGGGGGGCTGCTGGAGAGGAGGGGGTCGCGGGAGGAGGCAAGGCTGGGGCAACGGCATGTGTGCCCACAGAGAGGCCTCCGAGTGCTGCCTCTGGCACCTATGCCATAGGTTCGCCACCACTGCCCTAGTCACAGGATCAAAATTTGGCGCTTGGCAACTGGCTTGTATTTATGACAGTTGCTGTGTCCCAGTGTCATTTGATCACTTTTTGTGACCTTCTGACAAGTGAATCTAGAGTCACTTAACAACTGTGTTACTAATTTAACAAGTGCAGTGGCATTTAACAAGTGTGGCAAGAAAAGTCATAAAATGAGGCAAAATTCACTGTCTTGCTTAGCAACATAAATTTTAGGCTCAATTGTGGCTGTAAGTCAAGGAGTTCTTTGCAACCCTTGTGAGAAAGATATTCCCTTTGTATTTTACTATGAATCTTGGAAACTTTTCTTTAGTGATTCTCCTCTTCCATTTAGTTGTACACCCACAAACGTTCAGACATCAAAGCAACTAATCCCCAGCTTGAATCTCTTTGAACCTAGCTCATAGGCGGAAAAAAAATAAACCAAACACACCACCTATCACATGTTTAGTTTCCCAGTAAAGCCACAGACAGTTTCTTAAGATTGTAAACACCTACGAGGGAGGGAAAGTGTACAGGTAACCCTCAACTTATGACAATTCAGCCTAAAATTTTCATTGCTAAGCGAGACAGATGTGAGACAGTGAGTTTTGCCCCATTTATGAGTTTTCTTGCCACTGTTGTAAAATGAATCACTGCAGTTAAGTTAGCAACATGGTTATTAAATGAATCCGGCTCCCCATTGATTTTGCTTGTCAGATGGTCGCAAAAGGTGATCACATGACCCTGGGACACTACAACCGTCATAAATATGAGCCAGTCACCAGCATCTGAATTTTGACGACCCTGGGTATGTTGCAATGCTGGTAAGTATGAAATGTGGACATAAGTCACTTTAGTGCTATTTAACTTTGAATATGGTCACTAAATGAACCATTGTAAGTCAAGGACTATCTGCATTTTGACAGACTGATCTACACAAAGAAATAAACACATACATATAAAGTAAGTTTTATCGTGTTTTCTGATTTTATGGTTGCAATAAATGTCTTGATTTGATCTGATACAGGATTTTTTTCCCCTCAGATTCATTCATCAGTGATTGTACTTCCTTTGACATCCTATTTCAATACTCATGAAAGTAACCAGAAAAGACTAACACCCTCCCCCCCCAAAAAATGATGAACTTCTCTGTTTCTCAATTGTGATCACCCAAGCAATGTTCTACGTGAGAGAAAAACGGGCCAAAAGTCACTTTTTTCCCCCCAATGCCCCTTTTAACTTCAGCCACTAAACGAACTGTTGTAAGTGGAGGACTACCTGCATTTGAGAGGCACTGGTGTCTGCCCAGCGTCCTGCACACGTCTGCAAGAGGGAAAAAGTGCAGGGTAATACGATCTCAGAAGTCAGCGGGGGGGGGGGGGAAGCATTTTGAACGAAAGCAGAGAAAAGAAATTGAACCTCCACAAACGCAACGCCGGCGGGACGCTTCGGCTACTCCTTAAGGCACGTCGGCTTTTTTGCATGTGCACACGCGGAAAAGCGCGCGTGGAATGGAATGTGTGGAAACCCACCCTACCCCCGGGTGTTTTTTTTTCCTGTTTTTTTTTTTCTTTCTTTTTTGCTATCAGCAGGAGAGACCCTTCCGCCGGGTCCATTGAAACAAAAGAGCGGCCCTTTCCGCCGCCGCCGCGCAGCACAACTCCAGCAGCGGCTCCCCGATCCCAGCGGCGGCGCCGCGCCTCAACCTCGCCCTTACTCACTCCGGAGCGCCCCGATGAGGAGGCTGCCGTCCTTGATCAGCTCCTTAATGAACTTGTTGGTCCTCTCCAGCTCCACCTCGTGACATTTCAGTCTCTCCCTGAAATCCGGACTGTCCAAGTAGGAATCGCTGAACTCCAGCGTGGGCAGCCCCATGGCTGCAGCCCCGGCAGAGCAGCAGAACCAAGCAGGCAAGGCAGGCAGGCAAAGCAGGCGCCGGGCGCTGGATCTTCCGCCCGCCTCGGGGGGGTCTCTGCTGGCGAAGCGGCGCGGCGCTCCCCGAAGTCGCTGTCAGCTGCTTACATGGTCCGGCCAGCAGGACATCGCCGGGTCAGAGACGCCTTCCGGCCGATCAAAAAAAAAAAAAAAAAAAAATTCTCCCTTCTCTGGCGGAGCTTTTCCTGGGCCGGCCGGGGCGGCTCTTCTGCCCGCAGCACGAGCAGCTGCGCTGGGAGAAGGCAGAGCCCGCTCCGGTCCAATCAGTGCAGCCCGCCCTGGGCCCCCCACCCAGGTTTTTTTTTCCCTGCCGGGCCACGCCCCCCGTCCCTCCTTTGGGGCTGAAAGGGACCACCCACCTCTGCGAAAGTTCGCCCGGGGAAGCGCGTGGCTGTTTCTCTGCCCACCTTTCTCGTGTAAAGTTTCCTACGGTATTACCGCGTCAGAAGCAGGTTGGTTAAAGTGCGAGTGAGGTCATGCAATAAAATAGAATAAAATAAAACACCCCCAGCAAGTAGAATAGAGAGTACAGCTGAATTTGACCTTTTTTTTTTCAGCTAAGGATCAAGGTGGAAAGTAAACTTGCTTTGAGGAGGAATTTCCTTTCCTTCCAAGGTGATTTAATGATGATAATAATCCTGCATTGCTTAAAGGAGATCTGGGCATTTTATAGCCCCTAAGCCACATCTGGCTCTTGGCTGCCCCTGTCTGGCCCATGTGAGGTCAATCGGAAATTAGAAATCAGATGTAAATAAGGCATATCTGGTTTCTTACCAGTAGTAGCTAATCAAAACCATATAATTTACTGCTTTTTATAAAATGATAAAATTAATATTGAGCAGAATTAAGTAAAACCCATTGGTTCCACCATCTGCAACAGACTCAGTTTTTCCTGTGACCCCTTGGGAAAATTAATTTGACCACCCCTGTTTTAAATCAGTTGATTGATTGTCAATTAAAGTGTGTTGCCAGGACCCCTGGAGTCCCCCAAAGCCACTCAGATCAAATCAGAATGAGTTGCCAGCCTATGTTGAAAAAGTACAATATTAAAACCCCATCAGATGTTTGTGAGAAATGATAATGGCAATGATTGCATCAATGTGAATTTTTAAAATTATCAAAATAATGCAAAAGCTCTTTTTAGAGTCCTCCATCATTTTTAAAAGTGGGAAGGGGTTCTGAAAGGAAAGAAGAAATTAAATAATTGATAAGCCACTCTTTATTTAAATCTGTATATTTATTTTATTAACCACCCAACTTCAATAGTTCCTGGGCAGTGTATATAGCTGAAAAATATATAAGAAAAAGTCAAGTAAAATGCAAAACAACAAATATACACACCTTATTTTTAAGGGCTAAAAGCAAAGCAGTTTATCTTCAGAAGCTTTGTGCAACAACCAGCAAAGGTAGGTTGGTATGATTAAAATTATCACCAAAACTTGCTGATTCATAGCATCAGCTCAGAAATGTCTGGAAGGTATAGATTACCTGGGAAAATTTTTCCCACACATATCTAATAATGAAAAGCTTTATCAGTTGGATTTCTGCCTGACCCATTGAGCTGCTACATATATGTGAATATGCTAGAAAAAAAAGACTACCTTATAAATCTGTTTATATCAGGGTTAGATAATAGAGCTATAAGCCCCCAGAGTCACTGATTGAGAGGAACAGCTTTAGAAATTGAATGAATGAATAAATAAAACTTTCCTTGGAATAGTGGTTCTCTGTTTCATAATCTTAAATACCCAAATGAATTTATTAAAGAAACTGGGTCTCTCCAAGATTAAATTTATCGTATCTGGTCTGCATAAATTCACATAGCCATTAAATGGCAGCAAAATGGTGCAAAACACTAACTCTTTTGTGACATCTAGTGGTCATCCAGATTTGCACTCTAGGTATGTAAACCTACAGTAACTAAAACTTTTTTTCTGAGAAAAAAAATCTGCATGTTTACTGGTTGCCATTACTTTCAAAGTACTGTATAGTACTGTAAGTTTTAAAGACAAAAAATGCAATAATGGTGCTGATAAATTTTACTGTATAGTGAATGGTAATTGGGGGATTGGATCTGTGTTGGGCGCTTGGTTGGGACAACCAAGAAGTAAGTCCAAATGATGACTTTAAGCTAAATGGGGATGAAGCAGGCTTACTGCTGTTGGAGTAACCTTTCTCTAAGCCCAGATCAAGAAATTAGCATAAACAATAAGAGCGAAGACTTCAAAAACATTATGCCCTGTACTCTTAAAGAAAGAAATCAAGAAAATTAGTCCTCGACTTACAATCATGATTGAACCCAAAATTTCCATTGTTAAGCAAAATAGTTGTTAAACTAGTTGTGTCCCATTCTACGACCTTTTTGTCACAGTTGTTAAGGGAATCACTGCAGTTAAGTGAATCAAGCAGTTGTTGAGCAAATCTGACTTCCCCTATTGTCTTTGTTTGTCGGAAGCCGGCTGGGAGGGTTACAAATGGTGATCATGTCAATGCAACTGTCATAAATGCATGTCAGTTGCCAAGCCTCTGGATTTTCATCATGTGACCATGAGGATGCTGTGACAGTTGTGTGAAAACTGGTTATAAGTTACTTTTTTCAGTGCCGTTGTAACTTTAAATGGTCACTAAATGAATGATTGTAAGTCCAGGATTATCTGCATAGCTCCACTGCAACATTAGGTTGCACATAGTCCTTAACTTAACATTTAGCACAGGCGTACACAACCTTCATGCCGCAGATCACATGCGGCCCTGGAAAGTTAATAATGACTCACCACAAGATCATAAAAGTTTAACACTATTATGTGATATGTAGTCCAAGACAATTTCTTTTCACTCAGCGTGACCTAGGCAAGCCAAAAGGTTGGATATCAGTGGTAGGATTCAGCCAGTTCGCAGAACCGGTAGCTAATTTTTGGTAGAACTGGTAGCTAATTTTTTGTTTCCCAAGCCCAGAATGGACTTCTGGAAGCGGCATCCACACAGAGAACTGGTTGTTCACATATTTGAATCCCACCACTGTTGGATATCCATGGTTTAGGGATTCTTCGAGGTTACAATGGCACTGAATATAATGATTTACAACCAGTCCTCACCCTTACAAGCAATACAGTTAATTAATATACAGTTAATACGGTATTAATCAATTAGGCTCTGAAGAAATATTCAGTTTTACAACTGGGGCTAAGCAGGACAAGACCTGTCAATTTCCTGGGTGAGTGACTTGATCATATGAGCACCTAGGCAGAAAGGGTTGGGGCAGTTACAATAATGTTGATTGGCTCCAAAATGTTGGCTGTAATGGGAAATCAGAATCCCCCCACCCCCACTTTTTAACATGTATCACATATTCCTAAAATGGGACATGGCTTTGATCACCCTATCACACCTGTCATGCTAGAGGCAGTGACCATCACTGAAGAGTAGATTTTAATATTGTAGGAGTAAAACAACACGAGAAAAATAAAATCAGGTCAGCTCAAACATTTAGGTATGTTGTGGTTAATATTTATTGATTTATTTGTACCCTGCCTTTATTATGTTTACAAACAGCCAAGGTGGTAAACCTATCCAGCACATCTTCCTCCTCCTATTTTTGACAACAATAATCCTGTGAAGTAGGTTGGGCTGAGAGAAAGTGATTGGCCCAAAGTCATCCAGTCGGCTTTCATGCCTAAGGTGGGACTAGAACTCAGTCTCCTGCTTTCTAGCCTGGTGCCTTAACCATTAGACCAAACTGTCTCTCAAAATATATGTAAAAAGAGTTTTAGAAATGCAAAAAAGGCATCGGAGAAAGTAATGCAACCACACAGCAGAAAAATACAAGGCCTGCATTTAATAGCCATCACAAGCCCAGCTTTTATATACATGCTGAGCCAAAGAGCTCCGAAATGGAAGCTTGCCATACCAGCTCTTGCTGAACAACTCCCAACAGGCCTGGCCTGGCCTGCAGAGCTAGGAATGAGCGATGCTGGGAGTTGTAGTTCAATTATAGCTGGAAAGCCTCAGTAATTTTCAGACTGCGGAAGAGCTCTAATGCCTCCAAACAAATAACATCTCTTTTTTCTTTCTTAATGAATTTTCCCTTGAAAGGAAAAAAAAAAACTAGAAAAAATTTCAAAAACTTTTCAAATAGAGATCAAAGGCATCTGGATCCCTTGTAACATTATTGGTAATTATGCAATAACGATCTCATCTGGAATCAGGCTTAATAGTAAAATTCGTTTAAGAACTTCTTAACAGTACCTGGATTGGTGCTTCTTTCTCTGAAGAAAATTTACCCATCCCTCTTGATTTCTTCTCATAGTTCTTAGATGTTTAGCATCTGGTGGAGATATTTTAAGGACAGTCTCTTTTCAGAAGGTCCCACAGTGTAGAGGTGAGCCATAAATTCTCCAATAGCAATCTTTATTCTATAAGGATTCAGTTCGTCCTCAACTTATAACCATGTTAACAATTGTTTAAAAGTGCAATAGCACTAAAAAAAGTGATTTAAGATCGGACCTCACACAACTGTCACAATATCCCCATGGTCATGTGATCAAAATTTGGGCGTTTGGCAATTGACATGTATTTACTAAATTTGCAATGTCCTGGGATCATGTGATCACCATTTGTGATCTTCCAGCTGGCTTCCAACAAGCAAAATCAATGGGGGGAAACTGGATTTGCTTAACGACCATAATATTTGCTTAATGATTGCAGTAATTCACTTAACAACCATAGCAAAAAAAGTCATAAATTCAGATGTCATTCACTTCACAACTGCTTTGCTTAGCAGTGGAAATTCTGGTCCCAATTGTGAGCTACCTGTACAGGTAGTCCTCAACTTACAACCACAAATGGGACTGGAATTCTGGATTGTAAATAGTCCAAGTTGTAAACCAAGGCACCATGTGATGGGATCAGATATTTTTCGATGGTGTTTTATGGTGGTTGTTAAGCAGATCTCACAGTCATAAGTCGACTCCACTTCCTGGATGGGCATTTTTTGTTGTTACTAAATGACTAGTCATAAATTGAAGACGACCTGTACTTCATAGGATCATGTAACATTGTTCAGAGAGGGTAAGGGTTTTTTTTGGGCAACTCAAACATATAAGAAATTCAGGAATACAAGAGCTGATAAGATTTATGGTAGAAAAGCTAACAAAACCACGATGGAAGAATTCCAGTTTTGGCTGAGTATGAAATTCAAAGTGTTTTGGAGGTTTTTTTTTTTAAAAAAAACAAAAACAAATAATGAAATCAGGCTTTCCATTTGTGCATGATTTAAATAATGAAATCAGGCTTTCCATTTGTGCATGATTTCCTTGCCCTTGCAATGAAGGAGAAGTGCGAAGAAAGATGTCACACTGGGGCAGCAGACGGCATTCTTCTAGTTTGTCTTGTTTTGCCTACGGCAACAACATCTGCATGAGTGCTTGTGCCATGGAACCAATCCCAGAAACTTTTTCAACATAAATAGGATTGTTTTCAGCAAACAATGACGTGGTCAGGGCCCAGTGAGCAATCTCATCATGTTTTGAGAATATAAGACTTGGTGCTCTGTATCTGTTTTTCCAGCTCATAAAATGATACCCAAAGAGCTGCAATGTTCAAATTAAAATCTCTGCTGGTTCCCACGGTGCCTAAGCAGACGTGGCAAGTACCCTAAGGAAGAAAATGTCAAATGAACTTTTCTTAACGAGAAGTCTATATGTTGGGGGATGTTGAGGTGGACAGGGAGAGGGAAAGGGGGGGGGAAGCCCTCCATATTTTCATATGTGAGGCTAGTATTAATGGGGAAAATGTCCTTTGCTTGACTTCTTTCTACCCTTGTTATTTTTCTCAGTTCCTGTGTTTTTATTGTATTATGAGAGCAACAGTTCTCAGTCTGCATGCCAGTGCATTCAATTCAGAGAGTGCTGGTTTTCTGCTGATACATATATTTTTTTATACTTACTCCCTGTATTGTTTTAAATTGTAGATGTTTTCTTAGGAGCCTAATGGCTGTATCTCTGAGCATATATTCACATCCATTACTTTATTATAAAAGTTATCTTGCAAAGCGTCCAAACCAGGCTTCTCTCTCTCTCTCTCTCTCTCTCTCTCTCTCTCTCTCTCTCTCTCTCTCTCTCTCTCTCTCTCCCTCTCTCTCTCTCCCTCTCTCTCTCTCTCTCTCTCTCTTTTTTAAAAGATGATTAAATTTTAGGTCAAATTTTTTTTTTACACACGTAATCTGAGAAGCAAGAGCCTTCAAGGCTTTGGAACAATAAACAGAAGTATAATGTAGCCTTAAGGTGGAATACTTTGGCTGGCTGCTGCTTTAGTAGAGGGGTGCATGACAGTGCTAAAAATTAAAAGATTCACCAGATTTTAAAAAAAACTAATGTGGCAAAATAGGGCAAAGTTTTGCCTAACATCT